TACATGTTATTCTGTACATTTTCAATTACTGATTGACTATTACAATATATGCAAATTACTGGCACAAGTTTTGACCATCTTGAAATATCCTCTAAGAAATTGTGTAACCACTCAACGTCTTCACCACATTTATCTACATCTATAAACTCGGATTCCATTATAGATCTAGCTATAACAGTTTGCTTAGAGGATTTCCAGGATATGGCTACACTTCCCAATGTGAACACAAATCCACTAGTGGACTTTGAATCTTTTATATCAAATATCCAATTAGCATCACTATATCCTTTAATGGTCGTTGGATATCTGCTATAGTGCAGTCCAAAATTACGAGTAAATCTCAAGTACCTCAGTATTCTTACTATTCCTTTTCAGTGATCATCTCCTGGATTACTTGTATATCTACTCAGTTTACTGATTGTGTAGGCTATGTCTGGTCTCGTACAATTCATTAAGTATATCAGACTTCCAATAATTTTCGAGTATTCTACTTGAGAAACACTTTTACCATTATTCTTGAATAGATGTTGACTTGTATTTATTGGTGTTCTAGCCATGTCGTATCATCCTTACTGAACTTTTCTAGAATTTTGTCCACATAATGTGACTGGCTTAGAACGAGCGCATCTAACGTTCTTGAAATTTTTATTCCAAGTATAACATTAGCTAAACTCATATTTTTCATGTCAAATCTCAAATTCAACAGGTTTTTAGTAGATTTAATCATTTTATCGTTGCTTTTGTTACCAATAATAAGCATGTCGTCAACGTAAAGACATAAAATGACATAACTATTTTCAGTGTCTTTGACGTAGACACATTTGTCACACTTGTTGATTTTAAATACATATTCCATCATGACATTATCAAATTTTTCATGCCATTGTTTTGGTGCTTGTTTCAAATCATATAATGACTTTACCGATTTACAGACTTTCTTTCTTGCCCTGGAGATGAAAAGCCCTCGGGTTATTCCATATAGATTTCTTCCTCTAAATCTCCATTTAAAAATGCAGTCTTAATATCCATTTGATTTACTTCAAAATTTCGTAGAGCAGCAATCACAAGTATCATCATAATAGATGTTATTCTCGTTATTGGAGGATATATATCAAAGTAATCAAGGCCTTCCCGTTGTCTGTAACCTTTTATTACTAATCTGGTCTTGTACTTTTCGATAGTTCTATCTGCTTTCATTTTTCGTTTGAAAATCCATCTGTTGCCTAGTGGTTTACTTCATGGAGGAAGATCCACTAACTCCCATGTATGATTTTGCAAAATGGAATCTATTTCACTTTTAATAGCCTATTTCCATTGAGATCCTTCTAAGGAGTTCACAGCTCCTTGATAGTTTTGAGGTTCACTTTCTAACATATCGGTAAGAAAATCTGGATTATAAGATTTTTCTGTCCTTACCCTTTTGCTACGTCTTGATTGAACCTTAACCTCCTATTCTTATTCTTGATCCTGACTATTTTCAGTCATAATCTCATATGTCCATTTAGAAGAGCTTGTTTCTTCTTTGGGCCTGTATGGAAATACGTATTCAAAGAACGAAACATTTCTCGATTCCATTATCGTGTTTTTGTATATATCTGAAATTTTAGATTCATACACAAGAAACTGATAAGCACTACTATTTTGTGCATATCCAATGAAAATGCAATCTACAGTTTTCGGGCATATCTTCACTTTCTTTGGTGTTGGGACAATCACGTTAGCAAGACACCCCCACACTCGTAAGTACTTAACGGAAGACTTTCATCATTTCCATAACTCATAAGGGGTTTTTTCCATTTTCTTTCGGAGCACTTTATTTAAAAGGTAATTTGCAGACAACACAACGTTCCCCCACATGTTTTGAGATAATCCAGAATTTATTAGAATTGCATTCATCATTTCTTTTAAGGTGCGATATTTCCCTTTCAGCAACACCATTTTGTTGCGGTGAATAAGGTACGGTGGTTTCATGTATGATTCCGTGTTGTGCACAGAATCTAGCAAACGGAGCTTCATACTCACCACCTCTATCACTTTTCAACACCTTAATTTTCTTATTAACTTGATTTTCAACTTCATTCTTATAGAGAATAAATTTCTCTATTGCTTCATCCTTACATTTTAGCAAATATATATAACAGTATTTTGTGCTATCGTCGATAAAAGTAATGAAGTACTTGTTGTCGCCTCTTATTTGTACAAATTTTAAATCACATATATCACTATAAATTAAATCAAGTGGTTCTGAATTCCGCTCAATTGACTTTTAAAGGATGACCTTGTCAATTTTGTCTCAACACAAGTTTCGTACTTATATTTGGAATCAATATGAAACGCGGGTATGCAATTCAAGTTAACTAGTTTATGTAAAGTATCATAGTTAACATATCCTAATATACCATGTCACATATTGAAAGACTCAAGCAAGTAAGTAGAAGAATTTACTTTATTCATTTTTGGATTAATAACTATTACATTGAGTTTAAACTCATGTTCTAAAAAACGTGAAAAAACGCAGCATAGGCGCGTTTAGGCCCGACGTGCGACCAAAACGCGTCGAATTCGGAAAATGCGGGAAAAATGCGTTTTCCAACTAAAATGCGCGCCTAATGCGAGCGCGCCTAGGCGCGCATTATCCCGCTTAATCCCCCCCCCCTTTTTTTTAAATCTGTTTTTTTTATATATATTAAAAAAATCTATTTTTTATATAAAAATATATTTAATGCCTTAAAAATACAAAACGCATTATGACGTTTATTCTTCGCATTGAAACGCCTAAACTTGTGATTCTTGATTCTCGGCCTCGACGCTTCGCAATGCATTACGCATTTTAGAACACTGGTTTAAACATACCATCGGAAGCATAAAATTTTCAGACAAACATTCCACTTTTTGACAAATTAACCTTGTCAGACTCAAATACAATACGAAAACCATGCTTATTCAAAAGCGACCCGGACACTAGGTTTTTACGGATTTCCGACACATTCAGCACATTGTTGAGAGTCAGCTCTTTTCTCGAAATCATCTTCAGAACCACCTTGACTTGTCCCTTGATTTCAGAAGTTGCTAAATTTCTCATGAACAATTTTTCTCCATTTTCAATTACTTCGAAGGCAACAAACAGCTCTTTATCAAAGCACGCATACCTCGTAGCTCTGGTATCAATCCATTTTGGGTTTGAACCTACCATATTCACTTCAGAATTGACGCCTGCGAGATTCATCTCCTACACATCATGTGCCATGTAGTCAACTATATTTGCTTCTTTCTTCTTCCTTGGCAATCTGCACTCCAAAGACTTGTAGCTTACTTTGTCACAATTGAAGCATTTCCCTTGAAACTTTCTTTTAGAAATTTCACCTTTAGGTCCCAACTTGGTTCCTTTACCACCGGATGACCTAGCTTTATTTTTGTAGGTCTTACTGTTTTAACCATGCTCCACAACGTTGACTTTAGCTACACTAGGATTGAACAACTTCTTTTCAGAATTTTTGTTATCCTTTTCAATTCGAAGTCTAACAATAAGTTCTTTAACGTTCATTTCCTTTCGTTTGTGTTTCAAATAATTCTTGAAATCTTTCCACGCGGGGGACAATTTTTCAATAATTGTAGCTACTTGGAAAGTTTCACTCAAAATCATCCATTCAGCATGAATTTTATGAAGAACTACTTGAAATTCTTGCACTTGACTGATTACTGTTTTGGAGTCCACCATCTTATAATCTAAGAATCTGCCGACAATGAACTTTTTAGCACCGGCATCCTCAGTTTTATATTTTCGGTCCAAAGACTCTCACAACTCCTTAGCAGTTTTCATAGTACTATACACGTTGTATAGCGAGTTTGTAAGGTCGGCTCATACTTATGACTGTTGTGGTTTGAAGGGATATAATGATTGTAGATTCCTTACACATTGACGAAATATTCAATCAATTGATGACGTTCAGAAGGAATTACGTCGGCGTTCACCAATCATATGTTATAACGTTGTTCTCCAATCAATTCATTAATTATTGGGACCCCATTTAAGTTCAGCTTCATAATTGTCCGATGGAGCCGACCTCAATAACCAATAGAGATATGTCATTGACGTACTTTCTTAGTTCGATACTGTATGTTGATTTGACAACAACCAATCAGGGCTAAAGTCATCGACACAGATTTCCAACTCGACACTGTTGTTAACAAGATTCTCAACTTGACATTGTTGTTGACAAGACATGAATGAGAAAGATTTAGGCCCATTTTTTCCCTATAAAAATTGGGTCCAAGAACTTCTTAAAGGCGGAGGTCCTTCGAGGAAAAAAAAACTTGTAGTTCATAAGGTAACTACATTAGAAGTTGGCTTGAATTTAGTTCTCACAATTTCGTCGTCAACAAAGGTCAACAGTTTAAATAGCCAGGGCTTTCTTCCGTCTTGTGGTTCATTAAAGTATAATGTAATACCTTAATTTCTATTTTAACTAAATTAACAACAATGTATTGTTTCTAGTCTCGATATTTTAATACTACATCAATATAAACTCTGATTTGAGAAACTCAAAATACATTTATATATAATAGAGTAATTAGCACGTTTTATTTTAAGTTCTTTGAATAGTTTCCTAACAAAATCACTCCATACAAAATATTTAGAAGGTAATACATATGTCGTGTTTATTTATCAGAAAGCACTTCCAAATGAACTCCAATAATCAACCCATCGAAAAGCAAGACAGAAGAAGAGTTAAGGATGAACTGTAAAGTGAGAATCCGGTATCTGTATTCTGTACTATAATAATCCGATATTTCTATCCACAAAAATAAATGGACCAAGCTAGCCAGACAACTTACACCATAGGTGGGTGGGGCGGGACTTTTGTCAATGTTTTAATCATGGGGCCATCATCATGTGAGACAATTTTTGAATTTATATATAAAATCTGTAAAAAAAATCTGTTCCTGAGGAATTATTCAAAATAAATACATAATTTAATCAAAAAATACAGGAAAACGATTTACAACAAGAATATTCCAATAATCAATGGAAACACAAATCCCCACAATGAACAATGAACATAATGGGCCCCACTCCAATCACCCTCCTCTCTCGGAATCAAACTCGGTTCAGATCCGTTATAATTCGGGTTAGACCCGTATAACTCCTGAACCCCCATGATGTCATCGTTTGCAAGTTCAACTTTTCGGGTACCCGAAGGTATAGTTGGGTACATGATGGAATCCTCAACCGAACTATGACCCAACCCGAGTAAATGCCCGATTTCATGAACCACAACGGACTCCAGATCCACAGCCGAAGCGGGTGACCCGTTATTGAAATTGCCGTCTGTCACCCAATTTTCGTCACCGTCCAAGTGGAACCTCCCAACTGGCGGCGAAAACGCGTGAGCTAACGTCCCCAAAACGCCGTCAAACGGCTCGCCGTCGCCGTGATCTCCACTGAAGAACCCAATCTTAAGATCCGCACTGTTAAACGACGTCGTCTCCGTGAAAGTCAACGGCGTAACTTCCGACCAACGTTCAAAAGCGCGTGCGAATAGACTTTTAACATTTTCCGGCAGCTGATTCTCCGGCGAGAACGCGTATGTTAACTCGGTCTTACTCTCCGGCCACCTGGGCCTACCCGGGAAAAACGTATAATGGGCCACTGTATGAATGGTAGAATTTGCACTGTAAGGTCTAGGTTGCTTACCGGAATTCATAGTCGAAGTTCCATTAATTACATCGGCGTTTCCGCATCGAGGTCGTACGATGTGCTTTAACGTTTGTTCGTCTAATTCACCGGTGGGATTCAGATTAAAATTCAGCTGGTAAGTTTTGACGGCCGATTCAAGATATTCATCAAAATCATCTGAGAAACTAGAATAAGAAGAATTCAAGTAACCAAAGTACTGTAAATATTTCTTGAATTTGGTTAACCCATCAACTTTCTTTTGACCATTATGGCAGCCCATAAGCTTATTAAAAGCCTCCCATGTTGTTGTATTCGGGATTAACGAAGGTGGGATTGAAGTGATATTGGGGAAAAAATGTGCAGAAGCTGAAGAAATGGAAAAGAGTAACAGAAAAGTTATGGGAATGAACAGCGTGAACTTCATTTTCGTTTGAATGTCTGTGAAATTGAAATGAATGGAAAGTTTTTGATTTGGAATTATAAGGGTGTATCTATATATTGTTCAAAGGGTTGAGTTTTGGTGTGAAAGATGGAGAGCCCGCCAGCATTATGGGTTATCAAGGCTTTCGTATTCTGCTTTTAAATTGACTAGTGTTGGCGTGTGGGAGCTACGTCTGGACGAGTAGTCGCCTTCAACAATTTTTAAACGAAGAAAGAAGATTGAACTTTTCCATGTGCTCTTTCTCAACAACTTCTAATGTCCGTGGAGTTATTATTATTATTTATTTAGAGCATGTTTGGCTAAGATTAAATTTCAATTAAAATTGAAAATATAGTCGTTATTGGATCCCACTAGTCTAATAAAAGTCAACAATAACGACTAATTTTTCAATTTTAATCCAATTTTAATCTTAGCCAAACATGCTCTTAATGAATAATTTTGAAAGTTCCGTTTAAGAAGTTAAAATCTACGAGAATAAGCCATGTTTGACCTCCATTAAAATTACAATTCATTTTTCTCTTTCATTTTGTTAACCGCACATTGTTTAATAAAATAATATTATGGCCCTGTCTGGGCGCAATTATTTTTGACACAAAACTGACATGCCCACGGCAATTGACCATTCAAATACACACCATATCATGTCAATTGTCATTTCTACCCTTCATTGTTGGACAAGTTTAAAACATGTGGGGGGGCACTCATGTCATTTTGCATGTCCACAACATTTGACCATTTAATTGTCACTGCAGTCTGGGTCCCACTTTTCTTCTCCAACGGTAAAAAAATCGATTTAAATTCAGTGAAAATTGCTCCCAAACACAGCATATATGTAGTCTCAAAACTTTTTTTTTTCTTTCTTTTTTAACCATTTATTTTTCAAAAAATACTATCACAACTATTAAAATGTCAAATAATGGGGGTCAAACATACGCTAAATCAATCATGGGTTAAGCGTTCATTTAACTCCCATTATTTGCATTATATTGAGAGGAATAGTAATTTTTTGGAGAATGTATGATTAAAAAAGAAAGAAATTTTTTTATTTACGTGCAATATTATTTTATTGAAAAAAATATAATCGAGAAAAATAAATTATAATTTAATTGCGGCTAAACGGGTCTCAATTAGACTTCAACTATATTTAAAAAAAAAAAAGGGAATTGTGCTTTACTTTTCTTAATTATTTTATGTTATGGTGGGGTTGGGGGTGCGCACATGTCAAATGGTGATATTACAGGGTTGAAATTTTCGAAGTATATTTGGTGGTGTATTGGTATGTGTGAATCCTATTGTGGAAAAATCTATTTTTTTATGAGGAGAAAGTCTACAGCGTGAAGGTTTGCCTAATCTACTTCTAGTAACAAATGGGAACATTATTTTGGTCCTTTAGATTTACATGGCAGAATCATAGCCATACAACTGGATTTTTTTATAGTTAAATATTTACACTTTTCAGCGTTTCTTATTTTGATGTCATTGGTTGCATAAGCACTTAGGTCAAATATGCTATTTCTAGAAAAAGAAAATGGTATTGCTATTTATAAATGCCCATTAGGTCAACTATAATCTTTGACTTTTGTAATGAAGTTTATTATGCCCTTGTTTTGTAGGATTAAAATTATTTTTTTAGTAAATTTTGATAAAAATTGATAAATTTTTATAAAAGTTGAGTAAAAAAGTCATGAATTACATAAAATTTGTAATTAAAATTAAAATTAATTGTTAATTTTAATGTAAATTAAAATTTTAATTTTAATTTATATCAAACGGGGGCCATACATATTATTTTCTAATAGATAATGTTTAAGGTGAAAAAGAGATTTTTTAATGGATTAAACTAGTTGTACATCAAATTTGACATTGTGTGATGTATGGAAAACGATGCCATTGATTTCATTAAGGCTCTGTTTGATAGTATTTATTTTTCCATGAAATTAGAATTTGTTTTCCATTTTCCACATTTTTGCTTGTTTTCTTGGCAAATGGTTTTCCACCCAACCCCCTTTTCGGTCATTTTTCTTGGTTTTTTAGGTGGGAAAAGCTTTTTTTAGGCAACTTTTTCCCTTTTTTTTGCAACCGAAACAAATTTTATCCTCAATTGTAACAAATGGTATCACTTTAATGGACAATTTTCATGAAAAATAAAGTAAAACGAATATCAAAAGATCTAAAATTTCAATATTTTGCAGGTGAAAAATTATACCATTCAAACACAATTAATTGACAATTTTCAGTCAAACAAGTTATGGGGAATTCAATTCCCCGAAATTCATTTTATTTTCACCTAAATTCCATTCTTACAATCAAATGGACCCTAAGTGTGGGTAAAATCAATAGTCACAATTGCTGCTATGTCAAATCATGTCAAATTTAGAGTTTGTTTGGGAGGAATTTTTGGGGGAGGAATTGATTTTTGAACAGTGATATGATGGAAAATGTGTGGTTGAAAAAGAAGAAAAAATTATTGATGTGATGAAAAAAATTATTTTATTACAGAATGTGTGGTTAAAAATGAGAATTGATTTACTGTAGAATTTAAAAATCTCTCCCGAACACGCCCTTAATATCAACCACAATTTACATGTAGTAGAATTGTTTTTTTAATAAACCTTAGAAGTAAACACGTATACGTCTTCAAAATTTTGAGCTAGATCTTTTGGTTCGATTATTTTTATTTAATTTTTCATCTTTTGTCTTGATCTAGACACAAGAACTCATCTTTTTTTTATTTTTTAATATGATTTTCCATTACTTACGTAACATGGTGGTAATTATATATTTAAACGGAAATTAAATTAGTGCACAAAGAAAAAAAAATACTTAAATTCATTTTTAACTTGAAATAAGTTCTAGAGACTCAAATGTTAAGAAGGAGAATAAAAAAAAAAAAAAAAAGCAAAGAAGATTCTAATTTAACTTCTTTTTTGGTCAGAGGTGCCAAAATTTGACTTGAATAACAGTTCTTAATTAATTCCACGGAAGCCGGTCTTTCTTGAAAAGAAATATAAAATTGTTACGTTTGGTCAAAAGAAATTTCTTTATTTCGTTTCTCACGTTCAATTTGCAAAGAAAATTACCAATATTTGTCTAGTTAATTTTTTGGAAATTATTTTAGTTTTAGATCTTTGGATAAACATAAGAAAATTATTTTAAGTAACTTTTTTTTTAAATAAATTTTATTATTTTACGTTTTTAAAATTTTAAACAAATAAGAAATGGGTCGATGATAACTTCTGAAAATAAATATGGACTCATTAGCATTTGCATTAAGTTAAAGGATACAAACACTATCTGAAATTATTAGGCGCATATCGTTTGTAGGCAGATCAATAGTGAAAACTACCAAATTGGAGTACATTGAGGACAGAGAAACTTCTTGATGGAGCGAGAAAATACGTCAAAACATTTTGTTTGGTTAACATTAACACTCTTGGACGACACTTAAAAAGTAAATGTTATAGAGATAATTCTAATTTTGCTACAAAAATTAATAACTTATTTATTTCAAAACTTGCTTATAAAATATTATTTAATTCAAAATGCTGCATTTCGAGGAAACATAGGTTGCCCCGCCGTCTTGTTGGAATTAGGTTAAATTATTATAACCGCCGTTCTGAAATTCCCATATAAAAGCCCAATCCCATGTTGTAAATAAATCTTAGGATCAAACAACCTGAAAACAAAATTCTCTCTTTACATAGTTACTGATATCAATGGCATCAAACACATCATACGAAACATCATGGGCTGATCAATGGGATCCAGAGCCGATGTATAATTACAACAGCAACACCAAAACTGGTGGTTCTTCCAAATTTTCCGGCAAGGTCGGCGACAAGTTGGATAAAACTAAGGCGGTGGCTACCACTGGCATGAGGAAAGTGAAGACCGGCGCCACCGCCGGATTTCACTGGATCAAAGACAAGTATCAAAAGAGAACCCAGAAGCATTAACACATGTTAATGGAAGACAAGCACATATTATATTTAGGATACCATAGTATTATCATTTAAATTGTTGTGTATTTCATTTTCCATTTTAATTTGTACTAAAATTTGTAGTTGTTTATACTTTATAGTGATAAGTTTATTTGATTGATTGTTTTGTACAAAAAAAGGGTATAATATATGTATGCATTCGAACATGTTCCTTTGTTAATTTCTTTCATTCTTTTAAAATCCGATTGAAATTTTTAAGAGTTGAAATTTAGAAGTTTGGATTTTGGGGAGAGAGAAGTGAATTTGAAACGTCCATGAAATTTAAATATGTCATCATGTTTTGTTGGCGTTGATTTGAAACATCCATGTTGAATCACTTGAAATCCACCTTGAATTGGTAAAATAAGCTTCTTATAGTCGAAATCAAAAAGGACAGCACACGTGGTTGACCCACGAACCCGTCCAAACATGTGAGCCAATGAAAGATGTCATCTAAAAATATATGAGAAATTTGGCCAAATAGCCTGGTCGGGCAATGAGTTTGGACAAACGGCATTTGACCAACATTAAAACAAAATAAAAAAAATTTAAAATGTTTTAATTGGTAAAATGACAAAGTTGCCCTTCACTTTATATCAAAATATTCACCCATTTTTTCCATTTCACCTTATTTTTTCTTCTTCATTTTCACTATGAAACCCTATTCCCCAAATTTGAATTCTAACATCGTCTTCTTCACTTTAATTTTTAGTACATTTCAAGATTACCAAAAATTTTATCTTTGATTCAATTTTATTTCACATTACTTCATCTCTCTTTGGTAAGAGCTAGTACAACAAAAAATGTAATTATTTCCATCAATTTTTAATTTTTTTTTTTAATTTTTGAAATGTGATTTTGTGCTTCCATTGGTGTAGGATTAGAATGAAAGTGTAAAAGGACACTTTTTATGATTTCACAACTTTCTTGTATATTTAATTTAGTTTTAGTTGAGTTTTTTTAATGTGGATGAATTTTTGATACGTTTGGGGTTTTGAAGAT